CCCCAAAACCCCAAAACCCCAAAACCCCAAAACCCCAAAACCCCTGATATTAAATCAAGATTGACGTCCATTCAATTGGTCTCAATTTAATTTTTTTATAGAACTTTCTTGCGTTTCAGGGTTCTCCCAGGCTCAGGCTCTTTCTCCTCTTCATCCTTTTCATCACATGCAAAATTAATTCCTGGAGAAACATCAGAAATGATTGTCTTGAGCTCGTCAGCAATCTCAGCTTTCCTCTGGTAGACCACAAATTCTGGAGTTGCGCTGAATTCTTTGATAATTATTTTGAGGAAACTCCCTTCATTTTGCTTGAGCAAGTCTCTCATAACATTCAGCAATGTCTTTGGTATCTTCATTTTGAAAGATCCCCTAGTCTTCTTGAATTTAAATTTAGAATAAATTCTCATCTGAACTGGGTAAATGTCTAGAGCAATGAAGTTGGCATATCTAATGCTTGATTTCTTCATAACTTTTGGCTTTTCTTCTTCTTTCTTATTAACTTTGAGAATCGCTCCTATAACTCCATCAATGTTAGTATCGAAATGGAATTGAACAGCTGGGGAGTCACCTTCTTGCTTCTTCTCTACATTCTTACTCCCAAGAATGTTGAGGATATCTTCAGCTTTTAAATCAACCTCTGAGGCTGAAATGCAGTCCAGTTCAGATCAAATATCTTCAGAGTTTCCAACCATGTCAGAATACAATGCAGAAGTATCTGGCTTTACATAATCTATGACTTTATTAAAGTCATCAGGCTTGAGCTGTTCATAATTCATAGTGTTCTCAAGCACTGTGATCTTTTCATCTAAATTTATAGTCTATTAATTTACCTAGCTCAGTTTCAAATCCATTTTCTTCCTTCATAAGCCTCTCAGTGTCAAACATTGAGAGGCGAGAAGATTGCAATATTGTATCTAGATGTCTGGCAACTCTATAAATCGGCGTTATGAATAAAGGGAGAAAGAGTTTACCTTTGCTTTAGGTCTAAGCAGAAGTCTATCTGTCCCTGGAAAGTGCTCATGTGATCTTTGAGAAGCTCCATTCTTGGCTTTTTCTCCTTCTTCACTTCTTTCAAAAACTCCAGAGAATTCTGTCATTTATTCAGGTTTTCATGCAAAGTGAAATCTCCAGGAGAGTGGCCAGCTTGATTACAATGCTGTTGGCACTCAAAACAGATGAGCTTTCTGCAGACAAGACAGTAGCCTCTAGCTTCTTGAGAATGATTGCCACACAATTTAGCATGCTTCATTTTATTGAGAGCCTCCAGATTACCATCGATCATTCGATTAATTGGCAGTTTATCATAATCAATCTTTTTCTTGCAACCAGGACATTCACCACTCTTATTTTAGACTCTGAATGCAGGTGTCACAGAGAGATTTACTTCATTCTGGACACATATGATGCTTCCCAGGCTTATGAAGTTCTAAGCAGATTCAACAAGTGAAGTCAACCTTCATATTTTCTGCACTGTCATGATACATCCTCTTGAGCAGAAAATCAAGTAAGTCCTCGTTCATTTAAATTATTAATTATCAAATGACTTGTCACCTCAATTTATTCCTTCGCACGGGGTTTTGGGGTTTTGGGGTTTTGGGGTTTTGGGGTTTTGGGGTTTTGGGG